ATGATCACAAACATCTATGTCTTCTCTGGAATCTGAACTCAGGCCCATCCATACTGCAGTCAGCATCATTACCTTATTTGATAAATAGCTATGGATTATACAGTTAATGCTTTTGAAGTAAAAAAGAATTACATTTACAGACACTAAAAGAAAGGGAAGACAGAGCAAATTTTTTATATTTGTTATTTAGATCACTTACACCTCCCTCAAAAAAAAAAAAAAAAAAAAAAAAAAAAAAAAAAAAAAAATTACTGATTGAAATGGCAGGACAGGAAAATCTTAGTAAAGGAATTTAAAAATAAACTGGTTTATTAGAAATTTGTTGGCCCACAGAGAAGATTATAAGCATGTAATAAAACTAAAAATTTTATGTCTGGTTTCATAAATTTTCCTTGTACAGTTTGCCTACTGAAAGCAGAAAAGTGGATAATAAATGCTGAATCCTGAATTTGATTTCAGAAAGTGAAATTATGTGTCAAATGTGAATCATTAAAGTAGCTCTAATTCTCAGCAAAAACACTGCAGGAAGGTGTCCCTTTTACAACAGAGGTTTTGAGAATTCTGCCTTTATAAATCACCTACTTATACATAAAATATAATTTCTAGCACTTTAATCAAATGAAGAAACACATTTTAAATAGTTGACTTTTTTTAGTTTTCCTCCTTCCGTTACAACTTATCGAAATGTGATTATACACATACACATTTATTTGAATAGCAACAGTTTTCATACAGAAGACTATACAATTTTTATCACATAAACAACAAAAGAAAACCACACCCCTCCATTCCAAAAAGAAGAAAATGAGAAGAGAAACTATTTAATAAAACTAAAATTCTTCCAATTAAAAATGATTACTGTTATTAAAATCAAACCAGTAGTTAGCTAAAATTAAATGAATAAATTATAGAAATTGGTACACAACAGATTTTTTTCTTCTTTTACTTTATTACACAACAGTGGAGAAGGGATTTCCTGAAATAAAAAACTAAATGCTTCAATATATGAACTAATGTAGCAAAATTATGCTCTAAACTTACTATAATACGAGTATTTAGATTGGTAGTAACAGTAAAACGTGTTAGTTTTGCAATTAAAATACCAACCCTTTCACCCTATCAATAATTATTAGCTTTCAGTCAGCATATAAAAGTACACTGAAATATTTTATATTATTAAGAAAAACTATTGATTCTTACTTCAAAACATATGTTACTGTTTAAAAATAAGACAGATGGGACTGAAGAATCAAAATTTTTAAGTCAAGATTCTTCTACAGAATCTCTAAAAGTGAATCATGCTAACTAAATCATTATCACACTTACATTATTTCATTTTTTAAGGTACATTCCTTAATTTGTTACTGGCTTTGTTTGCTTTTAAATATGTCATTTAACAAAAATATGTTTACATAAAACTTCTTTAAAAATCCTTGAGAGGCCTTAGTAATAGTTGAGTAAAAAGTCATGGAAGTGTAAATTCATCTTCAGCTTAGTTCCCATAGTTAAAATGTCTTATTTCATGAATTTGATAACTTGGCTAGCTTTATGTGGTTTTTGTCTCATGTAATATGCATAGCTATGAGTTGACAGCCATTACAAAATCCTCCATTATAAAATTTCTTTCCTTATAAAGATATTTCTGAAGTGTTTTTACACAACTGACGAAATTATAAAATTTGATAAGGATGCACTACATCAAAATCAAGTTCAGAAAGAATTCCTAACACTTTAAATCTTTAATGCTGGTTGCCAGTTTAAAGCAACAAATTACCACAATGGTTTACACAGAAATGATTTTAGTCTCATTTGGATGACAGACAATAATGTCAGACTTCCCTCTCCAAATAAAGTAAAAAGAAAACATTTATGCATATCTGTCACCCATTAACATCACGACATACCTAGACACATTTTAAGTTCAGGAACGTATACCTCGTGTCCTGCGCATGTAACAACCTATATATGCAGATTTATATGCTACTTTATAGCTATTAATTTAGAAATTTTAGCAGCAATTCCTGTTAAGTGAATAAAGAGATTCTCCCCGTTAAAGCCCAGACTTTGAAAATTTAATAACGTACAGGAATGTCAGGGGAAAATATCATTATTGACAATTTTGGATTAATGCATAAACAGTAATACTGAATAAAAAAAATTTAACATATAGCATATTGTTTTAAAATCCCAGTCAAGAGATTCCATCACTTCAGAGGCAACAAATTCAGTTCTGGCAAATGAGTAAGGATGTTTCAAGGCTCATTTTGAGTTACCTGCAAAATTACTCTGTTCTTTCCAATGTAAGTATCACTTCTTTAGCTAGATCCTAAAATTGAGTTTTTTATAGATTCAAGTTCATATTCACTCTCCCCATTGTGATTACTAAAGATTAACCTATGAATAAATAAGTAAACGATCGAAGTTTTCACCTTTATCCAATATTTTTAACAGTTCCAATTCTTTTTAATTTTTGGTCATGCTTTATATCAGCAACATTTTGAAAAATTAAAAATAATCACCAATTCACTACACAAACTGAGAAATCTAAATCATGCGGTAATCATGGTTCTTAAGTAAACTCAGATGCCATGTGATCAGTAAATGATTGGTCCTCACAACAAATGAAAAACCCATATTTGAACATGATACTGAGAGAAGAAATTAAGACAGAAGTTACTGAAGAGTAGTTGACTATGGTTCTCATTTGTCCTCCCCCTTTTTTTTTCAATAATTGGTGTAGCCTTTAGTCTACTGGAACAGCATATTTTTGGGGAAATGGTGTAGAATAAATTTGCTCCTTGAAGAAGAGATTCCCTTGAAATACACAGTTTTTCTATAAAACTGTAATCATTCTATGGCAACATTCTAATCATGAATTTCATAAATTAGAATTATATCAAAACATAAAGGCTTTTGAAATAAATTGAAAAAAAGGGGGGCTGATCTTCAGTCTTAAAAACTTACATTACTCCATTTTATTTTCTGAATTTTTGAAAAGCAATAGAGCGACATAAAGCAAAGACATAATCTACTTGCTGTTTGGGAATTTAAAATGGCTACCTCAGCTTTTAAGAAAAAAAACCTCAACAAATACTGGAAATATTTAAATTATAAAATTTCTAAGGTCATCTTTAACATTCGTACTCTCTTTCTTTGGAAGGCAATAACAGAATTTGAAGTATAGGCCTGTTACGGAATATACGGATTCATCCATTAAGAGAAACTTTAGCACATGTGTATATAATCTTAATGTCAAAATCATTGAGCTGATCTTAAAAGAAACTGAAGAAATATAACTTCAAAAATGTAATCATTACTACTGCTTAGTTTTGAGACGTGAAAAAAATCACTTAAAAGTGCAAAAAGAAGAATCTACTAATCATTATCAACAAAGCAAATAGTTATAGAATTTCATATTGCATTTCATGTGAACAAAACTGTTTTAGTTAGCCATATAGTTTAGTTAGGCTTTACACAGCTAGTTCAAACTCGATTTTCCTATATAAAAAAGTATGTATGCCTGAATGTAAGATATAGTAAATGAAATGCATTCTATTTAATTCATCAATTAATTATTTGTAGAGTAAAAAATTTAACTATTTGCTCAAACGACATATTCTCTTCTGAATAATATTCTTGTGAGGATTACTCTATAAATTTCACAATTTTAAACTGACTAAAATTTAATATAATTCTTACTTCAGATAATGTGACAACGTATAAACACATAACATGCATTATAAAATTCTAATTGCACATTTTTTATGAGATAAGGAATAGAAAAACTTAGCATCTGAAGCAACATGTGAAATAAGTGGGAATGTTTTCATTTTGAAACTGTCGAGAATGGTATATACTTAAGATATTTTTGAAATTTTGGTTCATTATTATTATATTTTTTATTTAGAAGATTATTTTTATCTCTGCTTTTTATTGGAGATGTACATTGGTATACATTGCTATTGGATATTTGCAGTCACATGCTTTAAGGTGTAAAATGTGATAAACATAGTTCTTCATTTTTTTTTTCTTTTAACACCTGAAGTCATTCTATGAAATACGTACAAAATTTTTGACATAGATTTATAAGCTCATTAAGTTTAAGCATTCTCAGTTAATTAGTTAACAAATAACAATGACAAAATACTATTTAGATGCCATGTGAAAATCAAAAGTTTATATGTTAAACATGACAAACAGATATTTTATTGAATGAATTATTACAATTATGGCAGCAAAAAAGTTAATTTTTACATCAGTTAATATATTCTATAATAAATACTTTATTTTATAAACTTGTCTTAGAATCATTTAATACTTTTATTTATTTAAAAGAAATACTCAAATTTTATACTTTTTCCACCTTCTTATATTATAAATAAATGCCCATTAAATGTATCTGCTTTTTACTCAAGAAATTGCTTCTTTCAAACTATTTGTTGTTTGTAATGAATAATACTTCAAATTTATTATAATGCATGTCAATACCTATTCTACATGATATCAGTTAGCTACCTTAACACACAACAAGTTTTTCTTCAAAAATTAAAGGGTTTTCAAACTGTAAATGAAAGAAAGGAATTCTGAAGAAAAACTAATAAAAATATGCTAGGAGCATAGGCAGTGAAGAAACCCCTAAGATATAATTTTATCTTTATCTTGCTCTCAAATGCATCCCATTTCTCTTGGTAGAGCCACATTGGCTATAGCTCAGAAGGCATGTTTTGGTGCCAATAGGTTGTTAATTTAAGAGCAAAGGAAGGAAATTTGATATTAACTGTTAAAAGCATCTTTAAAAATACTGTAAAAACAGTTATTGAAAATATTTTGCAGACCACTGAACTCAAAATTTTCAAAAGCTCACAAAACAGTGGATCTACCAACAAAATAGAGCATTTTTGAGCAAGAACAACTTCCTTAATTCAATAAATATTGACACCAAAACGTGAACCCCCTTGCATGATGCCAATGAGACCAAGAAAAATGAGACACAAGACAGATTTAATGTAGTAACATAATATTGATTTATTGAATGCTAGACGTAGTCAAAAATTGTACAATACATTAAATAACACTAATTCTACATGCTAGAATTTGACCATTTTGTACAACATATTTTGAAATTTTGTGAAATTTCAATAATAAACTAAATTGCAAACGCAGATTTTTTACAATGTATATTCACAATAGGGGTAGAAATTTACAGGGATGCATGCACCAAATAGTCTGTAACTTAAAAATTCATTAAATACATAAAAAACTGTTATCAATAAATAGATAACTTCATGTCACTGCAAATGGCACATTTACAGCATTGATCGATTTAATATTACTTATAAATTAAATATCTAAGTTTTCCTCAAAGTCCAATGATAAATCTGGATTTTGAATTACAGAGTTATGTAATAAGACTTTTTTTGGACTGCTCTCAGGTGAAGAAAGAATTGGAGAGCTTACAGAAGTATCAGTTAAAGGTACATTTCTGTGCATAGTCAGAATTATATTATTTACATTTTTTGGGCTAGGTACAGAGAATTCGGATTCACTTTCACTTCTGGACCTTTCTTCTGCTTCTATTGCAGAAGCTCGTCTTGTTCTGATTACTAAATCAGGATTTGAAAATGGTTTCAGAACTAATGGATTTGAAGTATTTTTAGTAGGAATTTTATTGCTAGTCAGACAAGTATTTTTCATAATTGTAGCAACATCTCTAGATTCCTTTAAAACTATATCGCCATTTGCAGGACCATTTAATAGAGTATTCTTAGATTCATATTTTCTAACACATTTCATACTATCTTTCATTTCATAATCATTCGATTCTTCACTATCAATGAAACTACCATCCATTTTTTCTTTTTTTATAATTATTCTTTTACTTCTCCTTTTAGGAGTATTTGATTGAGACTTATCACTAAAAGAATCCCTCCCTTTATTCCGGTTAGACCGAGATGAAGATCTATGGACCTGATTAGAGGCAGCACGGCTATAAAACAGAGGAGAATCATCATCTACATTTTTAGTACGTCTTTCCTCTTCTTCTTTTAGGGCTTTTAAATGTCCAAGCTCCCAATCTTTCTTCTGTGCTTCGATTTCTTCCTAAAATAACAAATAATTAAAAATACATTTTTGAAAAAATTCAATAATTAGAAAACTACACAAAGTAATACAAAATGCATGTGATAAATAGTTAAGAAAGAAATCATCCTTTCAGATACTGAGGGAGAGGGGGGAAACTTATACATGTATTTTATGTTATTGTATGACAAAATGTTCATACACTAGACTGAATTACTACAAAAAATAAAAAACTTTGGAATGGATTAATCATGTTTTCTAGTTATGTAAATTAATTAATAGTATTAATAATAGTAACAATTCATGTGAAAGCAAAATCCAATAAAACATATACATTGTTCAGTATTAAAAAAACATTCATATATTTAAAAAATATGTATACAGGTAGCCCTCCTACAACACGGTTTCTCTCTAACACAATAAGAAAATTGCCCAAGCAATCTGAAGAAATTTAATGAACTCCGTAGGAAGATTTTTCATGTTGAGCAAAGCACCCATATAGTCATTTAACACTTAAGAATCCTTGTTTTGTAAGTTCTGCCAGTTTTCTTCCAAGATCCGGTACCTGTAAGAACAAATATCCTCAAGGAGACGAACCACATGGTGGAGAGTGACCGCTGAATTCTTGATCGGTAATAGAGTAAATTCTTTTCCTTACATGACCTTCAAAGCATAATAGCACAACAGAAACGATACCCAGTCTCAAGAGAACACAATCACCAGATAACAATGAAAAAACCTCAAGATAGCAGAAAGTGAACAACATGAGGCCACAATAAGTGCTCTAAAAACACATATAAACTGCACGCTCAGGTTCCAAAATTCTAATCCTCATCTCCGTGGCCTGAAAATAAAAGTGTCTCATGCTGGTGGTCAGCAGTCTTCATCTACCTATAGTGTGTTAAAGAATACCTTGTTCATCTTTAGGACATTAAGTTTCAGTTCTAAAACATCTCCAATAAAGACAAAAAAAAAAAAAAAAAAAAAAAAAAAAAAACTTTTGAGAGGAAATTCATTTTTCCAGAAGTAAAGATACAAATTTTGGACCGTCTTTTAAAAAGAGAAAAGGCATCTCACATTGGAAAAAGTTTTAATTTGAATGAAGCAACAGTCCAGACTATTAAGAAAAATGAAAAAGAAATAAGTGTAGTTGCTGCAGGATCTTCGACATCCGCAAAACGTGCAGTTCACTCCTGGGCACCGATAATTGAGAAGATGGAATTGGATTGATGATAGCTGTCAAATAAGAATTCTGTTGGATGTTAAACAACAGAAACAAACAAACAAAAAGAAAACAAACAACATTAAACAAAAAGCACTCAAAATTTTAAAGAACATGGAGGATCCTCTGTCAACCCAGATTTTCTGGCAAGTAAAGGTTGGTTTGGAAATTTCAAAAAGAGTCTTGCAATTCATAGCATAAGGAATTCAAGGAGAATCTGCATCCGCTGAATATGAAACTGCTAGGACGTTGATTAAGCTAAAGATTGGCTTTTAATTTTTTTGATGCCAGACACTGAAAATTATTTAAGGCAAAAAAATTTGAGCTTCAAGGAGCTATTAATATTAGATAATGCTCCATGTCACCCACAGGATTTGAATCATTCTAACGTCAAAATACTGTACCTACCACCTAAACTACTTTGTTACTCCAACCATTGTATGAAGGTATTATTTATACCTTTAAAACATATTACATAAGATTTGAATCATCATAAAGTCAAAATACTGTGCCTACTACCTTAACTACTTCATTACTCCAACCATTGTATCAAGGTATTATTTATACATTTAAAACATATTACATAAGAAGAGCATAACAGTGGATTTTAGACGTAACCGATTCAAAATCATTTAATGTAATGAAAGCTTGGAAGACATTTTCATTCAAGAACTGTACTGACATCGTATCTTTGTCTCTGAAAGAACTAAAAAAAGCAATGTTAAATGCATGTTAGAAGATGGCCTTGTTCAGTTGAGTGCGTGAAACGTTGGAAAATGAAATTGGTGGCTTATTAGAATTTGCTAAATAAATCAGAGGCGAAGGTTTTATTGACATGACTATTGAGGATGTTCAAGATTTATTAGCAGAAGAAACTGACGAAGCAGATTTGATGAAAATGGCATCCGAAGCCGTAAATCAAATCGATTCTGATTGCACTAGCACTGATGAAAATAGTGCAGTTAATACTTTAATGTTAAAAAAAAAAAAAAAAAAAAAAAATTAAAAGGCATAAACTTAGCTGAAAATCTCGAATAATTTTTCTTGACTGCAGAGCCTTCCAGTGAAATAAGCCGAAAATTTAAAAGGGAGCTGCAAAACTATCTAGCTTCAGATAGAGAAATTTACATTGGCCAGGTAAAAACTATAATAAGCAAAGTAAAATTACAGATTTTTTACAAAGGGAAGATAATGCTAGAAATTTTAAATGAAAAAAATTTTGAAAGTGAAAGCAATCTCATTTCGCCGGAAAAACGTTCTCGGTTGATTATACTAAGCAATAACAACAAAGAAATTTATTAAACTAAACTTGGCTTAAATTAAAATATGTCATATTTTTTGTTTTGTGTTGTATATACATGTGATGTATCAGCTTAAGTCGTAGCTTAAATTATCAGACGATAAGTTAAAAAAAAACAGGATCCATTTATTATTATTCAGGAGAAAAAGCAGTTACAAAATCAGATATCCAGAGTAAATAAAAAGAATTACTAATAACTTTTCGTATGAAGTTTACTGCATCGTGACATTTAAGAAAATGCCCCCGATATTCTTTTGCGTGTCCTTTTATAGCCTCTGGAAAGGCGGAGCTTCAAAGAAATGACGTCAGCCAATCCAGTTCGCTTTAAATATCTCCAGAACATTCTAAAACTGTAAGTGTAGAAAAGGCGGGAAAAACAACTTGACTACAGGGCTGTGTATTTAATTCCATGTACTTTCAAATAAGAGAACGTCGCCATTAAAAATGAAAAGAACATACAGTTAGAATTTTAAGTGTATTCTTGACTATGGAATTTTATTATTACATACATATACATGTTTAATAAAAATTAAGTTGTTTATGTAGAATTAAAAATATTTGTTTTTAATAAGTTTTTGGAATGCAAGCCCCCTTTTTATACTGGCTCTGGGTTTCATACAACACAGCATTTTCTAGGAATCTATCTATCGTGTTGTACAAGGATTATCTGTACAAATTTTATACAACAAAAGGATCAATGTCCTGCAGTCAGTTAAATTACTCAAATATAAATTATTTTATCATTATAAAACAAATGCAACAAATTTAAATGATTTTTTTTTCCCGCTATAAAAGCAGACATCAATTAATCAAAGACACTGTCCACTTTCTGCAATACAAAGTTAGTATACGTCAAAATAAATGATCTGAAGCTTTGACCATTATTTAAATAACTTGCCTCTTCTGTTTATAATTTGCCCAAATATTAAATTATGTGTTAATATTACTCAAAATCATATATCGTTTAAAATATTCAATTTCCAAGTAAGTAATTAGAATACCCTAACAATAATTCTATTTATACATATGTAAGATAAAATTATCTTAAATTATTTAGAAAGTATCTTCCTCTATATGTCTCGGAAATATGATTAACACGTTGACTGCTGTGCGTATTTGATGTGGTTTGCCCATAACACCAACTTGAAATTTTTATTATGCCATGTATATTATGTTGAAATATTATCTACAGAAGATAATGCGAGTTATATAAACGTGCTGGGATCACCCATTTTTGCGATTTATAATTTGAATTTGTACGATTTATTATTCTTCAAACCATTATAGTAACAATGATACTATTTAAAAATTTATCAGCATCGATATTTACTCTAATCATGTATTTTACAACTGGTCTTGTTGCCGGTCATCGGTGGCACACACAGCACCGTAGCCAAATCGAGTGCCAGTCACCAGTGATCCCATGGCAGTCAACGTGTTAATGACTTTACAAATCAAAAGCTTACACTGGATTGAAAACTCTAAATTAATAGTAATACAATTATTCATTTGCAATCCTTAAACAAAATTACATATGGAATTAAAAAAAATATGGTTAAAATCAAGTCTTTTGTAAATGATAAATTAACGCATCATTATTGTTTTGATGTTTTCATTTATTTTTTAACTTTATTATAAAGCTGAGCTGATTTATTGTAAATAAATAACTTTTGTACTAAAATGTAGTTTAGTTTATACTTTACCAAATGAAAGCAATAAATTTTCCTTTAGTGCACAAATCAATAATCTCTAACAACAGCACTATTTAATCATTTTGAATTTCTAGTTCTTTGAAGTAAAGTTTGAAATAAAATGCTCACTATTGTTTCAACATATTTTAGTCTTTGTTTAGCATTTTTTGTTCTTTTTTTTTTCTAAAATACTTTTTGAGCTGATTAAGTCTTCAAAATTAAACTTAATGTGATACTGCAGCAAATAATAAAATATATATCAGTGTGAAATTTTATAAATTTGTATAGAATGATGCATATCATTATAACGCAAAAATACATACATACATATATATATATATATATATACATATAAAATAAAAGTACTGCATGTAATGTAAAATTGTAGCATGAAACAATAAAAACGGTAATTATACGTTACAATAGAAGTTTAGGGGGTAACCCAGAAAAGAATTAAGGCTTATGAATAGCTTACAATATGGAATTTGATCTCCCCTGATGTGCATACACATTTTAGGACAATTAGGAGGACGCAATTGCTTTTCCTAAGTACTAATAAGTTCTCTATCAGGTTATTATAAGGGATTTTGCAAGCCCTGATATTAACTCATGTCTTTAATTTCAAGGTATTCGTCACGCTTTGCTTGATGTAGACAAGCATTACCATCCATAAATAAAATGGGGGATTCATATGCACCTTTGAAAAATGTTACTTAAGTTTCTAAGAACCCACTCCAATATCTATGGCCGGTCACAGATCTGCTGTGCAACATGTGCAAGGTTGCATGCTCACTGATCATTATCCCTT